TATATATATATATATATATATATATATTAGTTAGCTTAGTTAATTTTATACATGCATTATATATCTATGTATGTGTGTGTATAAAATTAACATTATATGCATTATAAAATAAATGTAAAAAATTTCCGTTTGTTTGTTTACAAGTACGTTGTATACAGTGGGTACGGAAAGTATTCAGACCCCCTTAAATTTTTCACTCTTTGTTATTATTGCAGCCATTTGTTAAAATCATTTAAGTTAATTTTTTTTCCTCATTAATGTACACATAGCACCCCATATTGACAGAAAAACACAGATTTGTTGACATTTTTGCAGATTTATTCAAAAAGAAAAACTGAAATATCACATGGTCTTAAGTATTCAGACCCTTTGCTGTGACACTCATATATTTAACTCAGGTGCTGTCCATTTGTTCTGATCATCCTTGAGATGGTTCTACACCTTCATTTGAGTCCAGCTGTGTTTGATTATACTGATTGGACTTGATTAGGAAAGCCACACACCTGTCTATATAAGACCTTACAGCTCACAGTGCATGTCAGAGCAAATGAGAATCATGAGGTCAAAGGAATTGCCTGAAGAGCTCAGAGACAGAATTGTGGCAAGGCACAGATCTGGTCAAGGTTACAAAAAAATTTCTGCTGCACTTAAGGTTCCTAAGAGCACGGTGGCCTCCATAATCCTTAAATGGAAGACGTTTGGGATGACCAGAACCCTTCCTAGAGCTGGCCGTCCGGCCAAACTGAGCTATCGGGGGAGAAGAGCCTTGGTGAGAGAGGTAAAGAAGAACCCAAAGATCACTGTGGCTGAGCTCCAGAGATGCAGTCGGGAGATGGGAGAAAGTTGTAGAAAGTCAACCATCACTGCAGCCCTCCACCAGTCGGGGCTTTATGGCAGAGTGGCCCGACGGAAGCCTCTCCTCAGTTCAAGACACATGAAAGCCCGCATGGAGTTTGCTAAAAAAACACCTGAAGGACTCCAAGATGGTGAGAAATAAGATTCTCTGGTCTGATGAGACCAAGATAGAACTTTTTGGCCTTAATTCTAAGCGGTATGTGTGGAGAAAACCAGGCACCTGTCCAATACAGTCCCAACAGTGAAGCATGGTGGTGGCAGCATCATGCTGTGGGGGTGTTTTTCAGCTGCAGGGACAGGACGACTGGTTGCAATCGAGGGAAAGATGAATGCGGCCAAGTACAGGGATATCCTGGGCGAAAACCTTCTCCAGAGTGCTCAGGACCTCAGACTGGAACTAAGGTTTACCTTCCAACAAGACAATGACCCTAAGCACACAGCTAAAATAACGAAGGAGTGGCTTCACAACAACTCTGTTACTGTTCTTGAATGGCCCAGCCAGATCCCTGACTTAAACCCAATTGAGCATCTCTGGAGAGACCTAAAAATGGCTGTCCACCAACGTTTACCGTCCAACCTGACAGAACTGGAGAGGATTTGCAAGGAGGAATGGCAGAGGATCCCCAAATCCATGTGTGAAAAACTTGTTGCATCTTTCCCAAAAAGACTCATGGCTGTATTAGATCAAATGGGTGCTTCTACTAAATACTGAGCATTTTTCAGTTTTTCTTTTTTAATAAATCTGCAAAGATGTCAACAATTCTGTGTTTTTCTGTCAATATGGGGTGCTGTGTGTACATTAATGAGGAAAAAAAATTAACTTAAATGATTTTAGCAAATGGCTGCAATATAACAAAGAGTGAAAAATTTAAGGGGGTCTGAATACTTTCCGTACCCACTGTATATATTTTTTTTTTCATGAAGTATGCATTAAATTGATCAAAAGTGACAGTAAAGATGTTTACATTGTTACAAAAATCTGTATGTTCTATACTCTTTAGAATTTCACATTGATCAATGATACTGAAAAAAATGTATCATGGTTTCAACACTGATGATAAGAATAAATGTTTTTCAACATATTATAATGATTTCTGAAGGATCATGTGACTGAAGACTGGAGAAATGGCTGCTGAAAATTCAGCTTTGCCATCACAGAAATAAATTGCATTTAAAAATGTATTAAAATAGAAAAGTTATTTTAAATTGTAATAATATTTCACAGTATTGCTGTTTTTACTTTTTTATATTTTGATTAAATAAATGTAGCCTTGGTGAGCCTAAGAGACTTCTTCCAAAAATAATTAAAAACCATACTGACTCGAAACCTTTGAACGATAGTACTTTAATGTATCATAAGGGAATGGAATCAATCAATGTTTAGAGGCTTAGTCAGATTGTATTTTGTCCAGGCATTTGTGTGAAGACTTTCAGAATCATTGGATTGTCATCATTGTAGGTCTTTAAGGTTCCTATCACTTCATCTGAATACTTGAAATCATAGTAAGCCCTAGATTTCTGTTTTGGTAAAATGTTTGGAGAGAATTAATTAGCTTTGGTGGCACTCTTCAGGAGAAGACTGCGTAGAATATAGCACATAAATCCTGTCAAATATTGAAATATGTCTTTTTATTAGGCAAAGGACAAGAGGTCGTTGATGCATTGACACATACATCATGCATCCACATGTGGGTATTTTGCACATATTTACATATTTTAGGACACCTTTTACATTTTAATGCACTTTTAGTTCTCACTTCATGAAGCTCTATTTATTGCTTGTCTGAGGCTGAATTGAGTTTTCAGTTGAGTCCATCATCTAGCTGACGTTGACCTTGGAGTGGATGGATGCTCCCCTAGCCAATTAAGTGGCATCCACGCGAGCATCCCAGAAAGCCCGGCCCACCATTCCTTCTCTGACAGATGCTACGCTGTCCCAGAACGAACCTGTCTGCCACTGAAATATGAAATCATGAATGCGATGACTAAAGAAAAGGAAGTCTCATTCAATAATGCCCCCCTATTGATAAAGGGTATTGAAATGCTGAGATTCGCACAGTCTTTTTTATTTACAGGTGCTAATTTGTCTTAGTATTTTCAAAAGCAGCAGTGCTTTTGTGACATGCATTAAAGTTTTCCTGTGGAGTGGAGGAAGAAAAAAAATAAAGTCGCCCTCAATACGTGTGCCTATAATGGGCTCCATGCCTTGGCTTTCATTACAGAGGCATGCCAGTGTAAATAACTGGGTCCTCACTAAAGTGAAGATGATATTTGCCCATAGACAGGAAGTCCAGAGTGGGTATTTGTTCTGTGTCAGTCAGCCATGAGCATGTTATTAACTGTTGGTGTGCGCTGCGGCAATGGGAAAGGACAACCGATTGGGATGCGTCTCAAACAGCTCTTAACTGTAACTTAAAAAGACAAAATCTAAGGGTTCAGTCAGTCTTTGCCAGGGACTTAGAACGGATTTAGCGAGGGTGTGAGAGTGTGTGGGAGAGGTGGGTGTGATGAAATGTTTCCTCTTTTTGCATGGACCGTGTTCGCTAACCATGTGTGCCATTTTGCATTCTAACTTGCGTTTTGTTTTCGTCTAACTGGGAGAGAAAAGAGAGTGAGCGGTATGAATATCAATGAGGGACATCAATCCTTCAGAGCCTCTTTGGAACATTACAGAAATCTTTCGCCTGCAGTTTGCCGTATAAACTGAGCTTTGGGAAAATAAAACTCTGCCAAATAACCCAAATAGCGGATTGCAATATTAACTCAAATCCATCTCCACTGAAGTTTGAGCATAATAGAAAAAGCACATTTTTGTGCATGTGTGTTTCAGCTCTTCCTTGGTCAGTGGGTTGTAAATGTTTAATAGGATGCTGGGATAAAAGCTAATTTTTCAGATTTGGCATAAACATCAACAACTACTTTAATAAACTTTAAAAAAAAATATGGGGAGTTGGTAAATTCCTCAATACGTGATGACATCAAGTATGGCTGTGTGGTATGATCAAATGTACTGTTTGATTGTAGAAATATGTGTATTTTAAAAATATTGAAATATTGAACAAATGTTTTTATTCAGTTTTAATCTGTGTACAATATTTTATATTTTTAAATACTTTTTTATTTATTGTATATTGCAAATTTGATTAATTTATTGAATACTCAAATGAAATTTCTGAAGCCGTTTATTCTCAAGATTATCCAATAATAGGCATTATATGGCATTTTAAGATACTGCCCACCAGTATAGATTTATATTATTTGTGACAGTTTCCACTCTTCGTTCCTCTTCTTTAGAGTAATGCTCTCCCCAGCAGCACCCTTCATTCACAGCAATGAGCTCCAGGGTGCTCAAAGAGCATCATGGATGGGTGCTGGTGAAGACAGGATGGAAAAAAGAGAAAGAGAGATGAGATGAGTGTTTTGTGGTTAGAGGAGAAGCACAGAAAATGTCAGAGATAACGGAAAATAAGGAAACACACATTGAATTCAGGACATTCAGACAGAGCACCTTCAAACTTACTGCAGAGAGAATACAGCAGTACAATCGTAATAGGTCTCGTGACTTTCGTCAAATCAAATTGTGCATAGAAAATTTTGACCTCCAACTGTGTATCATGGCTGCAGGAAGTGCATTATTCAAGCATCAATTCAGTCGCATCTTCCTCTAACTTAATATGTTAGTTGTTGCTTGTGGAACTTGTTGACTTTTGATGAGTTTGAGCGCGTGATGCGCGCTGTGAAAAAGTGTGTTGGAAACACAAATTGAGGACCAAATCTGCACCTTATTGATGACCCGTGGCGTTAATATAGGCTACTGCACCTGTGCCAGCACGTGATGTAATGAAACTGCAGCTCGTTAATAAACTTTAATTTTTTTAAAATCCATTTTATCCATTTTGAATCGATCCGCCTTCATTTAGCAAGTGCAGTCGCGCATAAACAATTTTCAAGTTCAACACTTTTTGTTCCGTTCAGTTGTGGATGCTGCTGATTCACCGAGACCGCCGCGGCTCAGCA